GTATGCCCATGCCAATTGATGTATACTTGCTTGATTCTAACTTTGCTCTCTCTTACACACTCATTTTTTTGCAGTGTTCACAGAATCCTTTGAGTATTGCAAAATATCATAATGACAAGGAGGTATGTACGCCTCAAAGTTTATATTTCATGTTTGGCCATCGCCTCTGATTTTTTTTTGTTCTTTTTGGCCATGCAAAATTTCTCTAAAAAGCCCTTCTCTGGACCAATTTTCTCTGTGACATGAATTTTCTCTGGTCCAATTTTCTCTGAATCAACTTGAGGGACCTTAGACATTATAAAAATATTAGATGTCCTTTATGCTATAAAATCTTAATACGAGGGACCTTAAAAAAAAAAACCCCCCATTTATTTATATATAATTAATTTGAATATTTATATATGTATATATTTTATATATAAAAAAAGTGTTTTATATATTGATAAAATATATATTATATTTATGTATGTTATATTTATGTTGTATTTTTATAATATAATATAATAGTTATTAAGTTATATAATTGTGATTAAGTTGCAATAGGGTTGTCATTAGGAAAATGAAAAAAAAAATCAAAACCAGAGACAAAGAGCAGAAGCCGAGAGAGAAAGAGAGCCAGCGGGAGAGAGAGATGACAGGGGAAAAAAAATATAAGATTTTATTTTGGTGGCTTTATTAATTTTCTAAGTATTTTTTTAATGTTTGAAAAATAATTGTGAGTGCCAAATCCACTTCCCTTAATTTATATTTATTTCGTTGTTTTTATTTATTTATTTGATGTTAGTTTGATATTGTATTGGCATAAAGATGATGGATTGATTTCAATTATTTTGATTAGTTGTATATTTAAAGTTTAGGGCTTTTATATAGATTTATTTTATGGTTGTAATCACACTCATGAATATATGAAATTAAAATAAACTAGGAACCCATAGATAAATTCTAAATACTCCACCATGACCCCAGGAATTTTTGTTTTATTTGAGTACTACTGATGAGAAAAAGTGTATAAAAAAAATTTGTTATGTTTTCATGCCATCCTTATCTACCATCTACACCACAAATTTGTTGTGTTTTTATCTTTTACGATCAGAGTTCATTAGGTATTCTCACAATTATCAAACACACACAATACCTCTATCTTCGTGACTTATTCATGATCTTCTTGTTTTAGATATAAAACTTGATACAATCTAGAAAATCTAATCTTTTAACTCATGAATTCATTAATTTTCATGTTTTAATATAAAAGGTTAGTTGTGATTTACTATTATTGTATTTATGTTGTGATTTTATATAATATCTTGCAAGTGTTTGTTTAAATGCTTCAGTGAAATTTTGCATTATTTTACAATGTTTTATTTTATTTTTACTCTTTTTCTGTTTGTAAGGATGGATAAGATGACAAAATAATATTAATCTCTTTTCACACCATTACTTCAAGAAAGATTCTAAAACTCCATCTATGGTTTTTTTTTTTCCATTCGTAAACATAGCATTTTTAAAAGTTCCAATTAGATGATTAAATCATGTGGCTTGTTTATCTACTAGAGAAATGTATATCACTTTCAGTTGTGATTATCCTCACTCTGACACTTTGTACTAGTTTATTTTTAAATATTATTTATTAATTGTAAATATATAATTACTTAAGTAGTTAAATCTTGATTTACATGTGGGAGAAATAGTTGTTCTAAAAAAGTATCATTAGGCCAATAGAAACAGTTGCAATCGGAATACTTAAAAGTATAGACCCATCTAAAAAAGTAGAAGGGGAAGAATTAGGACCTGACTATTGATAGGTACATGTTCAAGTGACAGTCAAACATAATGAGAGCTTGATCCGATCATATGGACTTGTCAAAATATTTGGACAAGCTATTGGAGCTCATGTTGCTTGGCCTGCTCCATTTGTAGTATATTTCTTTCATAAATACTAATTTCATTAACAAATTTATATTAAGTTAATATAATTTTACTTACCTTTATATGTTTATTTTTTAGATGCAGATTTCGCAAGTTATGGATGCTAGTCGAGAATATTTATACAAGTGAGGTTGAGAATTTGGGAACTGAATTTGTTTTGATAATTTGTCTCTCCGGAAGATGGATATCACTATGGCCTTTCAGAACTTATGGTTGGAATAATTTTTTTTAAAATTTTTTTTGCTTTAACTTTGTTAGTGTGGCAAAATATTTTATAATTTTGATTATGATTTGTATTGCAATATAAATAAATTTATATTTTTAGATAAAAAAATGATTGTGGTTTGAATTTTTTTTTTGTTTTTGATGTGATGATTCTATGGTGGTAATATTTGTTTATTATTATGAAAATATTACAAGATGAATAGATGTCAAATTAATATAGGATGTGACAATTAATATTCAATTTTTTATAAAATTGATTCAATTTTTACAAGCATTTACGTATGTTTAGTTGTGGTATTAAAGTGTCAACGAAAGGAACATATAAGTGGCATTTCATAGTAGTAATAGTAGTAGCTTTGCAAAGTGTCACTAGAATAAACTCTAATGGCACTTATATCCATTTAATGACACAAATGAATTGGATTTAGTGGCATTTTATGAAGTTGTTAAAAGTATCAATTGTGGCATAACAAGCGCTATTAAAAATCCATATAGTGGCACTTTTTAAATTGTAAGTCTTCTTCAATGGCATTTGATAGCGTCATGAATAATGTCTACCATGATATTAAAATGTCACTGAAAATCTTTAGCCTTAATGGTGTAATGGCACTTACAAATGTCACTGAAGTGCCACTAAATCTTTTTTTAATAGTGCTTGATAGTGTCACAAAAAGTGTCTATCATGACATCAAAATGTCATTGAAAGTCTTTAGTCATGATGGTGTAGCGGCACTTGCAAGTGTCATTGAAGTGCTACTAGTATCTACCATGGCATGGGTATAAATGATACTTGTTTAAAATGCCACAAGCAAGACTAAAAAATGTCATTAAAAGAATAGTTTGTTTGCACTTTCAAATGTCACTAAACTAAGAAAATATTGTAGTGACCTCACCGTTGGACTGTCACGACCACCATCGCCCAGCTCTGTCTAAACCAAGAACCACCCTTTACAAAGTGCTACGAAGCAGCAAAAGATGGTAGATGATAAAAAAGAAAGAAATAAATTTTGAGATGTTTCTTTGGAATGTGTGAAGTTAGTTTTCGGACAACTTTCGGCATGTCGAAACCATCCATTTTAGGAAGAAATGAGAAAATGAGGTGGCATAGGATGAAGTATAAAGTAAGGTGAAGAGATTGGTGAAAGAACGAAATAAATTTGTTAAGAATCGAGAAAATTGTGGAGTCTGAAAGATGGGCCAAAGAAATGTTGGAAACGAGAAAAAAAAATCATTTTTTAGTCTTTTTTTAGAGCTCTGACAAAACGCAAAAAGAATGAAACGGGACGTGTAAGGAGTGATACGAAAATTATGCCTTGACATGAATCCAATGAAGCAAAAATGAGGCAAAACAAAGTTAAAACAAAAGAGATACTAAGGCTTGAAGTGGTGCATTTGAATCTGAAAATCTAATCTTTCTGGGCTTGTTCGTGCATGTGGTTTGGAGAAGATAAAAGTAGGTTTGGTTAGGATGAATCCTATCAATGCTATTTCAAAAATCTAAAATGTTTTCGCATATTAATTATTGGGTGAATTACACTAATGGCCCCTATAGTTTGGGGCTTGTATCATTTTGGTCCCCGACTTTTCAATTGTGACACATTTGATTCTGAATTTTGAATCTTATTCTAAATAAGGACAATTCTAGATACTATTGGATTTTTCAAGGGCAAAATCGTCAATTTGATAAAATATAAATTAATTTGACAAAATTAAATGTCAAAAAATTATTTTTTAATTTTTAAAAATTATTTCTAGTTACAAAAGATAAAATTATATAAAATTGACAAATCTTTTAGACATTTATTTTTTTTACCAAATTAATTTTTATAATGTATTTAGATGATGATCATGTAAAATTAATTTTTAAAAATTAATCATTTAGTTTTTATTTTTTTTTTTTTATCAATTTTACATAATTTTATTTTTGATGGGTAGAAATAATTTTAAAAAAATTTTAAAATTTTTTTTTGACATTTATTTTTGTCAAATTAGTTTATATTTTATCAAATTGACGATTTTGCCATTGAAATTAAGCAATGGATGTTCAATTGTTCTTATTTGGAACAAGATTCAAAATTTATGGTTAAATGTGTCACAATTGAAAAGTCAGGAATTAAAGTGACACAAATCCCAAACTATACGGACTATTAGTGTAATTTGCCCGTAATTATTTGATTCCATGGTTTGGGTTTGTTACTAATTTAAATCATAAGGAAAAAAGTGGGTTTGGATAATTTTTAAAGAGAGAAAAGTGGGTTTGATTCCATGATGGTAGTGATGTTGGTTGGTTGTGATTTTGCATGGAAGGTAATGGTAGTGAGATGAGAGGATAAATAAAAGGTAATTGTAGTATTTATGCATGAAATATGATGGTGGTGATGTTGGTTGGTTGTGATTTTGCATGGAAGGTAATGGTAGTGAAATAAAAAAAGAAATAAAATGTGGTATTGGTGGTTTGGCATGGAATATAACGGTTGTGATGTTGGTTGGTTATGATTTTACATGGAAGGTAATGGTAGTGAGATGAGAGAAAAAATAAAAGATGATGGTGTTACATATTTATATAATGATGGAGACAGAAGAGGTGTTTTGGTACAAGAGTGTAACCCATGCTCCGTTGCACTATATTTTTATACTCGTGACGCTCACATTCATTCTGTTTAAACAAACGGATTCATTGGAAATTACAATTTGATATTAAGTTTAGGGATTTAAATGTTATAAATAAAAGTATAGGAGATTCCGTATTTTTTTTTTGACAAATCACTGGGAGTTAAAATCTAATTTATCCTAAATAAAATTAACCCAACATCTCGTCAAGCTAAAATTAACTTCTCTTTTCTTTCTTAATCTGAAATCCAAAACACATGTAGGGAGAGAGAGAGAGAGAGAGTCACTGCCAGTGTCCAGCCTCTTATAACTTTTCTTGCCACATTGTCTTGAAAACAAACACAAATCCACCAAACACTTTGACACACTGCAACAACTAACCTCTGCTTCCACATACAGCTTTCATTTTTTTGCTTTTCACAGCTCCCTCATGATCCCTCTCTGTCCATGGTGTTCAATCGCGTATTACAACAAATGGGTATAGGGTTTTCTGTGAATTCCAACCAAGTTTCTTTGATTCTGATTGTTTAAAATTAGTGGGTTTTCTGAGTTTTGAATCAATTGGGTCTTTCTGATGGGTCCTGTGAGAGGTTACAAAAAGAGGAGGAAGGTTGAACCAAACGCGTCAGCTTCTGGGTCTTCTGAGGAGGGTTCTGTGGATTGGTGGGATGTCTTCTCCAAAAGGATTGCTGGTATAACTTTTTTATTATTAATTTATTCTTGATTTATTATCTCTGCTGTGTTGGTTTGTGTTTTGGCTTAATTTCTACGTGTATTGACATTGATTGCTCTCAGACATCATACATGGGATGATTTGTATGTTGGGTTTATCTTTATTTGATGGAATTTTGGATATTCTCTTTGTCTTTCTTCTTTACCTTTCATTGAAGTTGTTACATGTTAATATATTGTAATTGCATTTGACAAGAATGATCCTTAATCTGCCATTTTCGGGCCCGATGAGTCATCCTTTTCACCTAACATTTGAGTATTGTAAATTTATCATATAAGGGCAAGAAATAATGTGATGCTGTCATATACTAGATTATATGTTCATTGACCTGTGTCAATGGGATTTAATAAAGGTATCTGGGTTCTCTATTTGGTTTTGAGTCTAATCTACATAAGTTAAGCATGCTTATAAATACTTATCATATGAGGGCAAGAAATAATGTGATGCTATCATACTAGATTATATGTTCCTTGACCTGTGTCAATTGGATTTAATAAACGTATCTGGGTCCTTGATTTGGTTTGAAGTCTAATCTACATAAGTTAAGCATGCTCATGAAGAGCATTTCCTTTTATTGTTTTTGGAAGGAAGTATAATGCTAGGAACATCTCCGTAATGATATATTGTTGAATTGATTTTGAAATTAATAGGGAAGCTGAGGTATAGTAGATCAGTTGATTTGTTTCCGTAATTTACCAATTAAGTTTCCCTTGTTGGGTGCTCTGAAATAACATTTCAAATTCCTTTTTCGTGTACCACTAATGTGCCAGGAAATTCCATCCTCCAAAGGGAATTATTATTTTACATAAATTTTGGTTGTATGCTGAAGCTTCTTTGGCAAAATGCAGACCTAAGATCAACCCCAATCCCATCCCTAAATGCATTTGGGTATGGACCTAAGATCAACATTGACACTATTAAGAAGCTCAGACAATGTAAATTTACATCTATTCTCCTCCTTTAAATTTCATAAATTAGTGTTAAATTTGCATTTTGTTGTTATCTTTGAACTAATATTCATATACATGACTTATAATTGTTTATCCTTATATATGCGATATAATAAATATATCAAATATATTATTTTGTGCATCCCCCACATGTATCCAACATTTTTTCAAAATTTTCATGTCGTCACATCCATGTTGTAACCGTGTCATATTCGTGCTTCTTAGCTTGTAAGTTCATTTGCATTCTTTTGATTGAGATTCTTAAGAGTGATCTTATGGCTTCAAAAGCTTAGGGATTCCTGAGTTGCCAGCAAGGTCCAAAAACCTAATATGGTATAAAGTCTTAAAATGGACCATCCACTCTACAGAATGAGCTCATTCATAATGCGGTGGTTTAAGTGGGTGAAGTAGGTGGAGAGTATGTGGATTTAGTGGGTTAGGTTTAGTGGAGTAGGTTTAAGTGGGTGAAGTAGGTGGAGAGTATGTGGATTTAGTGGGTTAGGTTTAGTGGAGTAGGTGATGTGGTAGTGGTGTAGTGGGTTAGGTTTAGTGGAGTAGGTTTAAGTGGGTGAAGTAGGTGGAGAGTAGGTGGATTTTAACATCTTTGAACCAAATATTCATATACATGACTTATAATTGTTTATCCTTATATATGCGATATAATAAATATATCAAACATATTATTTTGTGCATCCCCCACATGTATCCAACATTTTTTCAAAATTTTCATGTCGTCACACCCATGTTGTAACCGTGTCATATTCGTGCTTCTTAGCTTGCAAGTTCATTTGCATTCTTTTGATTGAGATTCTTGGGAGTGATCTTATGGCTTCAAAAGCTTAGGGATTCCTGAGTTGCCAGCAAGGTCCAAAACCTAATATGGTATAAAGTCTTAAAATGGACCATCCACTCTACGGAATGAGCTCATTCATAATGCGGTAAAATATGTGAAGATTAACCAAAGAAATTCACAACTTTTGAACATTATAATTATAAAAGAAAAACTCGAAATACCTTGTTTAGTGCTGATGAATGGGTTGGTTTACTTGGTTGCTAGTTGGTGCTTGCACGTTTAGGGGCTACAGGAAATATACAAAAGCAGTTTCATGAAGTCATTTTATTCTTCTAACTTAAGCTTTTAAAACAATAATATGTCATGTTTGTTTCTGAAGTCGTGTGACATGTATTTATACATAATAATGTGACTTAATGTGAGTTTGGTATACGTTCATATTGGACTTGTACAAGGTATTGTGAAAACTGTTATATGCATTTCTTAAACCTTCAAGTTTTTCTTTTTTGATAAAGGTACCTACAAGGATGACAATGTAAAACTGGCATTTATCATCGATCGGATCCTTGATGACATTACAAATTACAGTCAACCTCAAAATGTTTATTTGCTGAAACCTTGTTTACTTTTATTATGCTTGTGATGGAATTTGGCATATTGATCAAATTCGCTGTTGGTTATTGCACCTAGGTTTATTCAATAAACTCTTCCACTATAACCACCATGCTATGTTGTCTCAAATTTTCCGATGGCTGAAAGAATCAGTTCCTCTGTACTCATTTACATTAAGTTTGTCCCCACAGAAATTCCTCTTTCTTGGTATTTGGAAATTCTTTTCAACCATTTTGCATGAGTGATAATTTTGTCTCTTTCTTTTTTCCCCTCCTTGTGTAACATAATTCTTGTGTAGAGGTTGTAGTGGTTTATTGAATTACTGGTTACCCATATGACCTTGAGCAATTTTAAAGTCTTCATCTTAATTGCATAACATGGGTGATATAGGCTATTATGGTTGTAACTTGTAAGTTACATTGATGGTCTCACCTGAGAAATTCGATACATGCACAACCCTTATGGGCCTTGTCATAGTATATTTCCTCTTTCATCAACATGTAACCAGAAAGGTATCAGTTGTTCTTGTTTGGTCAGACTTCAAATGTTTTAAACATTAAACAATGCAAATCAAGGGCTGGACTAGTGTTAGCTTTCAATAGTTTTGGTTTAAAGCATTTGGCCCACAGAAGTTCTTTAGTCAATGGATGAAAAAACAATGCCTCGATTGGTGAATCTGTTGTATTGTATCCATGCACCACGACATCAATCTTCTTGCCTTTCTTTCTTTCTTCTTTTTGAAAATAGGTCTTTGCCTTCCTTTTGGAAATACTACTCTGGAATTATTTTTCTGTATCAGTCAGTCATCCATGAAAATAATGCATCTATCTAGAGACTCAACTTAAGTTTAGATTAGCTTATCTCTGATCTCAATCTACAGAAATGTGCTTCATGGCCCTTTTTATATGCCAACTTGCAACTTACTGGTCTCTAGGATCATAGCATTATTAATCCCTTGAAATGCAAAGTTCCTTTTTGTGAAACCATAATTCGGGAAGTATAGTATCTGTGGAAAACCTATTCTATTCTATTCTTGTTGGCCTTCTTTGAATGTTTTATGTGGTTTCTCCCCCCCCTTCCCCTTTTCCCCTTTTTCTTTAATTTTATTTCCTGGTTTGGTTTGCTAGATCAATATGTGGGAAGTCAATAAAGATGGCAACAAATGGTCTGTATTCTGTAGTATGTGATAGAAACAATGTTCACGAATTATGTGAATGTGCCTTGCAATCTGTACTGTTGGAGTTATTCATTCTCAACATAAAGTGATATTGAACTTTTTAATGCTCGTCCCTTCATTCAGAGTCAGCTTCATGCTCTACTTTTTAATGTATACTTTGTCCTCTTATTTGCAGGTCTTTTATCTCCATCAGAGGGTTCGGATAAGTTCGAATCTGTTTTCAAGATATCCAGAAAGACCTTCAACTACATATGTTCACTAGTTAAGGAACATATGATGGCCAGGTCAGCAAACTTTGTGTTTAGTAATGGAATGCCAATGTCTTTAAATGATCGAGTAGCTGTAGCTTTAAGAAGGCTAAGCTCTGGCGATTCACTAATATCAGTTGCCGATTCATTTGGAACGAATCACTCTACTGTCTCTCAAGTGACCTGGCGTTTCGTAGAGGCCATAGAAGAAAATGGGCTTCACCACCTTCAGTGGCCTTCCATGGAACAAGAAATGACAGACGTAAAATCCAAATTCGAGAGACTCCGTGGCTTTCCAAATTGTTGCGGTGCAATTGATACCACCCACATTACCATGTTGTTGTCTTCATCTGAAATGGGAAGTAATTTATGGCTCGATCGTGAGAAGAATCACAGTATGATCTTGCAGGCGATTGTGGACCCCGACATGAGGTTCCGAGACATAGTTACTGGATGGCCGGGAAAAATGAATGATTTTGATGTGCTTCAGAGCTCAACTTTCTTCAAGCTATGTGAGAAAGGAGAGAGGTTAAAAGGGCACACGATGAAGCTCTCAGACAGAACAGAATTAAATGAATATATAGTTGGTGATTCGGGGTTTCCATTACTTCCGTGGCTTGTCACGCCTTATCAAGGAAAAGAGCTATCAGAATCTGAGTTTGAGTTCAATAAGCGCCATTTTGCAACTCGTATTGTGGCACAAAGGGCGTTGGCGAGGTTGAGGGAAACGTGGAAGATAATTCAAGGAGTGATGTGGAGACCCGACAAGCATAGGTTGCCAAGAATCATTCTTGCATGCTGCATTCTTCATAACATTGTCATCGACATGGAAGATGAGGTGCTCGATGCGTTGCCTTTGTCTCACCACCACGACACAGGTTACAAACACGAGGTTTGTGAATCTGCTGACAAAGCTGCTTTGGTTTTGAGAGATAAGTTGTCTCTTTACTTGTCTGGAAGACTGTTACCTTGATACTATTTGCTTTCAATGGTGAAATTTGAGTAACTAAAACTATAGGTCAAGTTTATAGTTAGAGGAGATTTTGAGACAAGTAAAGCAGATTGAGATAACTTGACATTCAAGAATGTAAATGAAATTGAATAAGATGGAAAGTTTATATATATAATTTAATATTTTTACATTAATTCTCTCTTGGTGGAGCATGACTTGGATTTTGAACTTGAAAGTTTTACGGTACACTATTGTAGTGATGTTTTATTTACGTTCTTGCTTTACAGAAAACTAAATTGCTTCACTCACAGAATTTTATGTACCGTTTTGTAACGTTTGCACTTGTCTGGAAGACTGTTACCTTGATACTATTTGCTTTCAATGGTGAAATTTGAGTAACTAAAACTATAGGTCAAGTTTATAGTTAGAGGAGATTTTGAGACAAGTAAAGCAGATTGAGATAACTTGACATTCAAGAATGTAAATGAAATTGAATAAGATGGAAAGTTTATATATATAATTTAATATTTTTAAATTAATTCTCTCTTGGTGGAGCATGACTTGGATTTTGAACTTGAAAGCTTTACAGTGCACTATTGTAGTGATGTTTTATTTACATTCTTGCTTTACAGAATACCAAATTGCTTCACAGAATTTTATGTACCGTTTTGTAACGTTTGCATTTTATTATTATTATTATTATTTTTTGTTTATAGAAAACATTTAATTTTTGTAAAAGCAAAAATAATAAACATGTTTGATACACATGTTTTTAAAACTTGTTTTGAAAACAAGTGGGGGTGGCTGGCAAGAGGTGATAGCCGGATATGGTTGTCAACAGTTAAAGATGGTGGATGAAAGTAATTGTCGATTGTTGGAGGTGGTAGCCGGATATGGTTGTCAACAGTTAAAGATGGTGGCCGGAAGTGATTATCGATTGTTGGAGGTGGTTTCTGGCAAGAAGTATTGGCCAATGGTGATTTTTGGCTGTCGGAGGTCCAATGGTGGCCAACTGACCAAGGTGGTACCCGGAGGAGGTTGCTTAGGGAGGTCACTAACCATGGTAGCTAGAGGTAGGGGTGGCCAGCTGTGGTAATCAATGATGGTGATGCCCCAGATGTGGCAATTGATGATGGTAATGTGACCGCAGGGAGTGGGAGGAAGGAATTTAAAAAATAATTCCAAATAAGTGAAATTAATTTTTTTTGTGATTAAAAGAATTTTGTAAAGTATTTGTTAAGTTCTTTTGAAAACGAAAATAGACACCAAACAAATTTTTACATATATAATTGTCAAAATTTTTGTAAATATAAAGAAACTATAGAGATAAAACATTATCAAACAATTGAACATTTGGAGTCATTATATGATTTGGAAAATGACTCAGAGCTCGAAACTGAGAGGCTTGAAACGGCTCGAATTTTTTTTTCCTTTTCAAGCAAAGGAGCTCTGCACAAACAGAGGGAAGAGGAGAGGAGAAAGAGGGAGAGAAGAGAGGAAGAAGAGAGGAGAAGAGAAAGAGGAGGCAGCACCACCGCCGCCGATCGTCGCAGCACCACTTCCTCGCCGATCGTCGCAGTCGCAACACCATCGCCTCCGCCGCTCCTCCGCCACTGGTTGAGACCCCCTCCTATCCAGTTCTCCCTTCTTCCTTCTTCTTCTTCTTCTTCTTCTTCTCCGCTCTTCGTTTCTGATTGAACAAAAACACAGGAAAAAGAAAAGAAAAAAAAAAAAAAAACACCAAAACGACGTCGTTTTGGTGTCGAGCCAAATTCGAGCCAAAGAATTTCGAGCTACGTAGCACTGCCAATATGATTTATAGGCTTCCATAACCCTTCTCAATGATGCTTTGAGGGTTTTTTTTGGTTAATTACATTTGTTGTTCCCAAAATATGAGTTTTTGTTACTTTAGTTTTCAATATTTAATTTTAAATTGTGTCAATTTGATTCCCAATGTATAACTCAATATATGAAAACTATTTCAATTTAATCCCCAAATTGTGTCGTAACAGTATTTTAATTTATTCCTATTATTTAGGCTTCGTTCGGAATTTGATTTTTTTTAGTAATTTTATGAGGTGAAAAAAAATAATATATTTGAAAATATATTTTTTATTTTATAAAAAAAAGTGAATGATTGATGCATATAATTATTTTTTTTTAGTAATTTTTTTAAAAAAATTAATAACTTTTTAAAAAATTTTTGGCCTAAACGAGAGCTTTATAGGTAACATAATTGGCCAAAGTTTGGGCGTAGTCCAACCAAGAGTTCACTTTAAGCTAGTGCAGTGGAATTAAAATATGAAGTAAAATATGTGGTAAAAAAATTAATATGTTTAGTTTTTTATAAAAAGATATGTAAAAAGTAAAGAGAAAAAGAAATCATTGACTTTTTAATATAGGTTATAAAGTTTTTAATTTTTTAAGCTACTTGCGAAAATGTTTTAATGTCAAAATTGTTGGACCCAACATTGAAGTCAACACAACGCATGATCAAGCAGAGTGGCCACACAACCCCTCTTAATAGCCACCAACACCACTTGTATAGTTAGAATCTTTTTTTTCCTTTTGGAGAAACTTACACTATCTGAGCTAAGCATCAAACATGGGATAATGTCTTCTTTACAAAAACTAGCAGGGGTGCCAGATAAAGTATTGGGCATCCGATGCATCCCCAGCTCGTCCGAATCTCCAGACTCCTCTGCTGCCTCTACCCAGAATGAGTTCAAAGTCGAAGATTATTCATACTTTTTGTTAGGATAACCAAAGTTAACGACAATGCCTAAGACTATTGTACAAAGTCAGTGCACAATCCAATTTACATCGGCTGCTATCTAGCCTCACCAGAAAATTGAGCCAAGTTTCATCAATCCACCATATTCCCCTAGAGTTTCTCCGATCAACTGCAAAAAGAATGATATCCAGCACGGTCAGTAATGTTTGTTTGGACATTTCATGGAAATGAATCATCTCAGCTCTAACAATTTTATCTCACTTTTTAGACACATCCATCCTGCATAATATTCTTACAAGCTAAATATCATCCAAAATGTAACAAATATGTTGTATGTTATCAATCAGTACACATTCTAACAACTATTCTATACGAGCAATGGAATGAGTCTGGTTAAGAAGCTGTGAAATGATAAATGAACTCCAAATTTCCCATGTAATTTCCAACACGCTAATAGCATTTTATTTCCATAACAGTGACTAGTGTCCCCCTATGACTGCTTGGATTATGGATTTCGATAGGGATTTGAAAAAATAAAGGGAAAAGGTAAGTGAAATGTAACTATATTTCATTCAGATTTCACCTACCTTTTTGCTTTCCCTTTCCAAATCCCTATCAAAATCCATGGTTCAAACACAACCTCAGAGACCATGTTGCATGCACATTCCCACAGAAAATCCAAGTCAGAACTGTAACTAGAAGATAAACAAAACAAAGAACCAATACCTATATCAATTTTAACCTAGGAAGACGAACACTTCAAATTGGGTGTTGTAGCCGTGTCTGTGTATGGGACAAAGATACAGCACGGACACGTGTGTCCACGTGTCTAATTATTATTCTTTCGCAAGACATGTTGGGAACACTTCTTGAGATGCCTCAAGACACTTTGTAGGTTCTTTTATTTTTTATAATTTTAGAAAAGCTAATTTGGAGTCAAAGTAAAATATAAGGAAACATATTCATTGATGTCTTTTATATTTTTCTGCCCTAAATTTATATTTGCTTATATAAATAAATAACAAAAAAAAAATTGTTGTATCCCCCACCTGTCAGTATCTTAATTTTTTCAAAATCATTGTTTCGTGTCCATATCTATGCTTCTTAGATTTCAATTATTAGTGTACCAGCGAAAAGGTGTAAGTTTGCCGAAGGGCTGCAATAATGAGAACAAACAGTGCATCATCGACACTGAGTTTCAGATAAAGCAGAGAAGAAATACCTTTCACCATTCAAAATTTGGTGCAGCAAAATTGTTGTCATTGATGGATAGCATAAATCTATTGGCCCATTGTTGTGTTACAGATTCAGGAACCACTGATTCGCCCATGAAAGCATTCCATGTATCCCCTCCAGAATCAGCAAGAACCCAATTGACTTTAGCTGGTGGTATGTCAGAATCAAATGTTGAAGTCTTCACTTCCTCTCGACAAATTTTCTTCCGCGGACCAGAATTCTGTGATTAGATATGGCCAACAAGAACAGAAGCATAATGAACTTCTAGTTTGAAGTTTGGTTCTAAAAAAGTTATGAGCTCACCTTAACATGACAGCCCAATTTAAACACATGGGACAGTGGTGCATTTTCATCTCCCATTTCTTCCAGGTATCTCTCAACAGCAACCAGGGAACGGAACTGCCGACCGGTCCCTGGCTCATAATAATACTGCACAATAAGAAACAACATAAATTGAAATTGTAGTTTCTGACTTGCAGTTCACAACTGAATAAAAGATATCCCCACCACATACACACACACACACACACACACACACAGAGAAAGTATTGATATATTCATATACAATGTCTACCAAAGAAACAGTTCATGCCACTTCATGCCACTTCTCTGTGTAAGAAGATTTGATGAAAATTATCATCATTGCTCGAGCCTTATCCAACACTAGGGGGGTTTATAATTTTTCTTGAAGATGATATATCAAATTTGAGGTATTACTTCAGTTTCTTTCTTATACTTGTCCAATGATTCTATCCTTGAAGAAGTAGTCAAGTTTCTGAAATTGTTCTTGGACATGGTGATTAGGCTACAAAAGACCAACTTGACATTACACCTAATAGGGGGGGGAGGGACTGACTTGATGTTTCAAAAATATTCATGTCTCACAAGTGACATACATGCAATGAAGCACGGACACCTCTCCGAAGGTGACATACAGGTGTCCGACACGTGTCGGACACAGACACACGCCGGATACACTCCGGAGACATGTTGAACATGCTATAGCGAGTTGGACACGCTAGGACACTTGGGACACGCTATAAACACATTGGGACATGCTATGGACATGTTGAGGATACGTTGGAGACACATTGAGGGCCATTTTTTTCAAAAAAAATAATTTTTTTATATTTTTTTTATTAAAATAGCATACCTAATAAATTTGATAAAATTAAATATTTGACATGAAATGAATATTAAATATTTAAAAATATAACATATAATAAATATATAAAATTATATATTTTACACGTGTCCCCAACGTGTCATGTCCTGTATTTTTTTAAAATTTGTGTGTCTGCGTGTCTGTGTCGTATCACGTGTCCGTGCTTCTTAACATACATGCATCAGTTCACACAAATAAAAAATAAAAAATAAAGATTTCTCTTATTTTGCACATGTCACCAACATGTCGTATCATTCTTGGTACATGTTAGTCTTTCCACAATTAACATTTATAATGTTCTCTATGCTTATAATGTTACTTTTTTGGCAAAGATAGCCTATTGTAGACTATCTTCTACTCTGTCAATGTTTTTCACTCTATTCCCAACTTTCTCTCTCTAAATTTAAAGTCTTTTGTGTGTATACAGTATTCATGTAAATGACATCCAATCACCCGAAAATAATGTGTAATTATCAAATTGTTTCATGAATTTGCTATCTAACTGCGCTGCATCAATAAGCCTACCCCTCTCCCATGACATTCTACAATATAAGTTGTACCATTTTCTCATTCCTTCCCTTCATACTAAACAACCCGTGTACCAAGTACCACTGATTTAATACAAACATGTGAAAAACAGTAATGGTGCATAATAGCCAGCAGCACAGTTACATAACCATCCATAAACAACCTATACATACTGCATTATTATACAAACTAGTAATGGTGTCAACATCATATTATCATGCAAGGCATTGGCCAATTTCTCAATGGCTGGTTAGAATTTATTAATAACAGAATTAGCCTTTTGAAACATCTATCCATAGATATGCATTCAAACACCAATTTCAGTTAACAAATATTGCATGGCAAATCCCTATAGATATGCATTCAAACACCAATTTCAGTTAACAAATATTGCATGGCAAATCCCTGTAGTTAGGGTCTTTTTGAAAAACAACTTTCTTAACATTTTACCAGTAAAAACATCTTGGAGCAAATAATATCAATATTTTGCACTACTGCATATAATCATTTTCTGGTAACTTTCGTGTCTTCAACATCACATGCACAGAAATAAATAGTTCCTTTGTGTCTTACGTAGAAGTTGAAGGATTACAAAGGTCATCCCCGAGACTGGCAATCATCTCACGTATAATCATTAGAATCAAAACCAATTAAAACCTATCTTATACCTTAAAAACTACATTTTCCTTTCATGATCCTATGTAGATGGTGTCGATCTCAAAATGCCATACAAAGCATAATGGAGTGACTTAAAGTACAAGAAATGCATAAAGGCAACCTAACGTCTTCCATTCTATAAAGTAATTCAAAAATTAAGATGATGTGATGCTCTGTTTTATCACTGGAGTCGTGGGATAACATTCAGATTACCATTACAAATTTACCAAATGTAAAATTAAATGGAAGACTAGGGCATTCAACAAAATCACCGGTTGTTAAGTTTCATATTGGTTATAATAACATCCTCAATCTCAAGCACAAGAAGTTTAGAGCATGTTTAATACGATGGAATGAAATGAAGTGGGAACGGAATGAGAGTGAGAATGAAATATAAGGTTGAATGGAATGGAATGTCCATTCCCATTCCATTGTTTGGTTGCCAACATGGAATGACATAGGAATAAGATAATAATTCTCATTCTCATATTTGGTTATGCCTATTAAACTCATAGAATGGAATAAATTTTTATTATTTATTTATTTTTTTAAACAAATTAGTAACAAATAAATTAAAATTTTGTATAGATCATGATAATGTTGATAGTTGTGGAACTGATGGTGTGAGTCGTAATAGTGGTGGTCGTGGTGTCGTGGTGGCGGTGGCGACATCGGTTGTGGTGATATTAATGATATTAGGATGGTGGTAGTAGGTTGTTGTGGCCTTAGTGGTGGTGGTAAGGTGGTGTTGTGGTTGCGATGGTGGCGGTGGCGGTGGCGGCAGCCAACAGTGGTAGGGTGATGGTTCTCGCGATGGTGATGGTGGTGGTGTGATGCTTATGAAGGTGGTGGTAGTAGTATTGTTAAGGTAATGGTTGTGGCGGCAGAGGCTATGGTGGTAGTGGGAGCAATGGTAGTAGAGCAGTGGTTCTAATGATGGTGATAGTGGTGGTTTTATGGTTGTGGATATGGTGGTAGTAGTTATGGCGGTGGTGTGATGGTTGTGGCAGCAACCATGGTGGTGATGGTGGTGGTGGTGGTGGTGAAGGATTGCGTGGTAGGAGAACGAAATGGTGGTAGTAGCTAAATAATAATATTTTTTTTAAGTGCCAATAAAAAAAATAATAATAAAATTTTATAGTAATTCCATGATGGAATGGAATAGCCATTCTTTAGATTGGAAGAAAGAATAAGCATTCCTACATTTTGTTGGAATAGCCAAATGACTATTCTTATTTAGATAAGACGTACCAAATAAGGGAAAGGGAATGCAAAATTAGAATGGACATTCCATTCCAGCCCATTCCTTCATACCAAACGTGCTCTTAGGGGAAAAGATGTCAAAGCTAGACAAAAGCAGTGACCCACTAGTCAGTTACATCATTTACGAACCACTCAATTTTCAAAATCTTGAGAAATTTAAAATCACATCCATGTCAGCTTGCAGAAGTTCACTAATTGTTAGATTTCACTACAAATTAATGGTATAAAATAGGACATCCTGTGTTACAGAGAAACTATAATACTCCAGCGATTTACGTTTTGAAACATGTGTTCCAAAGCACGATACACTTTCATTCCAAAACGTTGAATTTAGCAAATCCCAAAGCTTTTCCTATTTATTTCCTTAACATTTAAAAATGAATATAATGAAGTAAAACTTAGAGAGTAGAGTTTTGACAAGATAAAAAATGTCATAATGCTCTTGGAAATGTATTTTGACATAATTAATTTAAAAAATAAACTACTATCTTTTTTATGTTTGAAAGAAATTTAGTTTCATGTTTAGGAAGTTTCTCTGTACAAACCTACTCCTTTAGTACCACTATTTTTGGCATGTGACGTACCATGTTTCCGTTCCCATTCCTCATACCAATACAACCAGCATTCTAGGTAACATAGGGACATCCAACATTCTAAAATTGATTCAGCACCCGGACCTACCATTCTAAAAATATTCACACATATATATTCATGGTTTGTAATCAAATAGGATAATACAACATATACTCAGTTCAAAAATTCTTAAGATATTGAAGAATCACCATCCAAATCTATATCAGCTGGACAATTACGCTAATTGTTAGATTTCACGACAAGTTAATGGTGTAAAATGGGACATCCAACATGCTAAAATCGCTACCAATCTACAATTACACAGACATATATGTTTGAAGTCAAGTCAGTGATTTTTTTTATTTTTTCCTTTGGTTCTTGATAAGTGGTTTGAATTAAGCATTTCAAATCAACTTTTCTCTGGCAAGATTCCATTTTCCCCTCCATTGGTGGCTCTCTGATCAAACTTAGGCATATTTATCAATCCTATATCCCTTTATTTGTCGAAACATATTGAACTTCACATTCTTCTCCATCGGTAGTGAAACTGATTTCCTAGAAGGCGGGGAATTTTTATTTATTTTTAAATAGATCAACGATTACTAAATTAATTGCACTTGCACTCACACAACTGGAATATAAGTTCAGTAAATATTTATGTATCTATACTCTTTTAAGGCATTTTACTTCATAAACCTTAATATTTTAATCCTAGTTTTTTAAAAAACAAGCAAAATAGCAGAGCAGAAAATTAATGTTCGTGTACAAAATTGGTCTCCCAAGATTCAAAAAATAATAAATCAAAGAAGAATTTTGGAGTAACTGAGTAAGGACCAAACTATGAATCAAGGACACTTCTAAGAAGGTGGCATGTCCGTGTCGGACACCAATCCTCATCAAACACTTCCCAACACATGCCGGACACTCATCCAAACCCGAAGAATCTTCGGATACTTGAGGGAGACACGTGTCCATCACTAGGACACACATAACTAATTATAAGTTTAAACAAAATAACCTAGGGGTGCAAAGACAAAAGAAAATTAATGTAGATTTACAAAAATTAGTATTATTTTGTATATTTTTTTAATTATCTTTGAATGATATATTCGTAGATATAATATACAATAAATACATAAAATTATATATTTTGTGCATATCACCCACGTGTTGTGTCCTGCATTTTTTTAAAATCATTGTCTTTGTGTCGTATTGTGTTCGTGTGTCCGTGTCCATGCTTCTTAGGAACCCAACATTTTCTTTATTTTCTAACATTTGGCCAGAAAACTGAATAGTAGGTAAGGACAGTACCTTGTCGGTCTTACCATTGCGGCTACGGGGTACCTCCTCCACAACCCAACCATCAGGGAGGATGAAGGGTGAGGTAGCTGCAGCAGTAGTGGGGGCCACAACCGCTAATTGGTGATTATCAAATTCCTCCTCATCCAGCCTCAACAACTGCAGTGGCATCGGCATCATTGGTAAGGATCAGCCCTCCGCGTTTTGGGCTTTTGTTGTGAGTTGGAATTGTAACAGTGTTTCAGTTGTAAGCTATTTTTAAATTTTAATATGAATGTATCCAAAACTTCAGTTATACTTTATCTCTGCAGCTAATCCAAACAAAAATTGTGTATGTCAGTTTTAATATTGTTATTTATGCAACTGATATAACTTCTAAAATTTGGTTGGACTATATATATATATATGATCACATTATAGCATAATAAACCAAAAGGGAAAAAAAAATTATCATATTTAGTCAAGAGTTGGGGTGTCCAATATTTCAAAATTTGGGTCAAAATATATTTAAAAAAGCTTTTGCACATGGCTGAACCATTGATGTGCTGACAAAAGGGCTCTGCTTATCTCCTTTAAGGGCTAGTAGGACCCATGTTTAATTGGTGCTTCGACAAAATCAAAAGTTGAAGTTTTACCATTCCACCCGAAATTATCATCTTTCGTGAACCAGAACTCTGCGAAAAGCATTAAAAGAACACTTAAATATGCTCAAGGTCAACAGAAGGAACAAATTTCTCGAAATTCAGCTGGTTAGCAAATCTTGAACTCACCACAAAATGATTCCGCAGTTTATATGTCTTACGAGAAGGTGTATATTCCACTCCTGTTAGGTACCTCTCAACAGCTTTTAGAGATCGGAACTTCTGTCTAGTTCCCAGCTCATAGTAATACTGCATAAGGGGATAGCAGTTCTAAAGTTTCAGACTTGCATCACAAAATTGAGCAAAATAACTTCCAGAGAAAATAACTTTTAACTCTTTAATGGTTACTCTAATTGAAAAAACTACCCATAGCAACAAGCCAGGAAAATATTGTAAAATGGTGCCAACTGACAAGTTAATGAAGTTTTCTCTGGGCAGTGGATCATCTCAAGCTGATTTTACAATCTGGACTGCCATGACACATGTACTAATTACTGTTTAACATAGACTCACATCAAAAAGCATTTAAGGAAGCCCTCCAAATATGCGTATCAGATGTCCCCCCAAATTCACTCAACTGTCCACACTGCTATCAAGCCCAGTGGAGGAAGTCATAGAAAAAAACTATTCATTATTTCCCAAACCTTGTCCCAATTATATGGGTCAACAATGTTTCATGTAGATAATGGCATAATAGCATTATCTATATATATATATTTTTTATAATTCTACATATTCATTGTAAATGATAGAAAGGTTAAATAGATTCAGAGAAAATAATCGATAGGGTTTCTTGGAGTTCACAGTTATAGATAGTACATACAGGAGTTCCTGTACTGTTTCCTGCACATGCAATAAGGTCATGGATCAAAGAGTTCCATAAGAATCTGCTTCGCACACAGAAACTCGGACACGAAAAATGTCACGAACACTCAGAGCATGTGGAGCCCATTTCCTTCAGGACTTTGACTTAAAATGGAATCTTATTTATCCGGTATGATTATTTATTTATTTTCAATTCGATTAGCTTGGAGACCAAAACAGGGTGCAAAGTGCCAATAGTCATCCTTTTTATCTTCCTCAGCACTTTGCTTGAAGAGTTAAAAAGGATGAATAAAATATATATGCAAGTTGCATAGTCTAATGAGAGCTAAGCGTCTCAGACACAATAAGTTTCTTTAACATATGACAATATGCAATTTGTCCATGATCATATGAAAATAAGTCATTAATATTATAATCTCCAACCAGTACTTTCAAATCCTATACCACGATAACTAACAAGAGTATCTAGCTTCAGCTCATGGCAGTCAAATATTTTTGCTGAATCATGGATATAGCAGAGCATGGTTTCACTATGTGCATATACCAAGTTAAATTTCAACTTAATGGCACTGAAACTTTTCTTCAACGACATTGATTTACAGTTTTCCTGGTAAGGTTTGAAGTTGTTAGACCATTTCTTAAAACATACGGGAGCAATATCCATCCCCCTTTCAGCTTCATATGTTTGTATTCTCGCTTTATATATACCTCATACATCTCTGCAGATCACCATAATGCATAAGGCAAAATGATACTAAAAACATCAGATACGTCATCTTGAAAAAGAACCAGAGGAAAGCAAGACCATGCTAGAAAGTTTCAGATTCATAACATAACAGTCCTATTAAACATGTTTCTGAACTAGAAAGTTTAAAAAAACCCGTGAGTTTTGTATATAAATTTTCTGCACCGTACCCTTCCTGAAAATGAATGTTAATTCTTTTTAAGGCTTTGTTTTTATCAAGAGTTGCACTTTGTTTGGATCATGGGGTGAAGGGGAAAAAATTATAGTAGTCTCTCGTCTAGGTGAGAAAAGAAAAGTTATTATACTTTCTCACAATCATACTTGGATGGGTTAGAAAGCAAAGTGTGTGATATAAGGATGGGGGTGAGATTTCTTTTTATTTCTTTATAATTTAATGAACAATCTCGATATTATAAAAAATACACAACTAATTAGCATGTTTTTTTTACCAAATCTCACCACTTCCCATGAAATGAAACCTATAAAATAAGAGAGTTGTCTCTCTCTTCATTTCTCACCAATTCGCTTCACCAAAAATTATAAACCAAACATGAGAAAAGAGTTTCATTTCTCACCATTCCTCATCATTCCTCACCAAATTAGCATCCAAAGAAGTAATAAATAAATCTCTTGGAACCTTATTGTTATCTTTTTCGAGCTAAATTTGGTCTTTAGCATAAAGAACTGAGACAATCCAAAGCTGAATCCTAAAAAAACTTACACAAACTTACCACATTTCTAAATTACACACACAAAAGCTTTCATGCATGCAAATTAAAGTCTAAATTCATAGTCTAAATTCATACTCTAACCCTTCTAAATGCTCGGAAATTCAGCGAATTTCACCAAATCCCTAAATTCTCCAAAACAAAGAAGCAAAATCAGAACATCAATATATATATATATATATATACGTGAATCAAAATGTACATGCATAGTCCGCATTGATCGTAAAAGTAAAATTGAGAAAACGAGAGGCAACCTTGTCGACTCGGCTTCCATCGGAACGGAGTACCTTCTTCACGGCCCAACCTGGTGGAAGCTTGAACTGTGAGGCGGTGGAGGAGAAGAGGGCGGTGGCGGTGGTCGGGGGCAGAACCGCCAGTTGACGGTTTAGGGAGGAATCGCCGCCGTGGTAGTCAGGGGTTAGCAATGGCAGTGGGATCAGCATCATGGATGATGAGGATGAGAGTGAAAGTGATGCGCCATTGTCATCCATGGTTGGCTGGGTTGGGGGGCTTGGTTGTGAGTTGAGTTGGTGACTCGCTATGAGTCCGCTTTTTGGACACTGCGTAGTGTGAGAGAGAAAGAGCGTGCACTAAGAAGCACCAGGATCCTCTAGAGTGAAATTTCTCTAAAGTTTCTTAAAGTGCTACATTGTGTGGTTTAAATTTACTGGCAAGTCACATCAGAAAAATTGATGTGACTTGCCAGTAAATCTCAACTACACAATGTAGCACTCTAGGAAATTTTAGAAAAAAATCACTCTAGAAGATCCTTGCTCCACTAAGAAGTGCTTCTCTCAGCTGGTCCAAAACATAAATTAGACGTGGGGTCACATCGAAGGAGGTCGTGTTTGTCCTTTGTGAACAAAAAAAAAAAGAAGGTATGTTTGGGAACATAAATGCTTTGCTATTGTAATTAATTTTTGAGTAAATTACACACACCCCTAAAATTTATATTTATCACAATTTTCTTTTTATATTTGAAAAATTACACTGATTTCTTATCAATTTAATTTTATGTATGATGATCATTACGGTGAGGGAGAGAGCTGTTATAAAATTTTAAATCTCAAGAGGCAATCTATAATGAAACTTTAAACCTCAGGGAAGGGATGTAATTTTCAAAAGGTGAGGGAGAACTGTAATAAACATAAATCTCAGGAGGTGTCAATGCAATTTACCCTTAATTTTTTTATTTTTTTTTAAAGTCTTCGTTTGAGATGTGGATTAATTTTTTAATTTTTTAAACTTTTTGACTGTTCTAGTTTGGGGTTAAAAAATCTCATTTGGAATGAACTTTTTTTATTTTTGTGAGAAAAAAATAAAATGATTAAGCTTTGGATGTGACATTTTACCTTATTAGACTAAAAAATTTATTGTCTTTTTTTTTGGCTAAAATAACCCTAACCCAAACCTTCATGTCTTAAATGTAGGTAAAAATAAATAAAAATAATTAGGTGATAATTTATAATGATTTTTTAAATTTTTTTTTGATTATGTCTTCGTTTGGAGACAACTTTTTAAATTTGACTTTTATTTTTTAATTATTTTAGTCTGGCTAAAAAAAAAAATTCATTTGAGAATAATTTTTGATATTTTTGTAATTTTGTGCGAGAAAAAATGATTATAGTTTGGATAAGACATTTTATCGTATTGGCTTTTCAAACAAGACATATATTGGGGTATTTTGGAAAGATTGTTAAAAGTCATCTTCCAGCTTTTAATCTGGATCACGTCATCTCTCACATTTTTTACACGTTTTTTCGAAAAAAGTCAAAAAAAATTAAAAGTCAGGGAAATTCTATTTTTACATACTTGATTACCTCAATGCACATCTTCTCTCAATATACACATTTATTAATTTAATTATTAATTAACTTTCTCAATCTACACATTAAAAGTTACAAGTATACTCTTCACTCATAATCATTATAGATACACCACTTAACCTTCTTTTTCACATACTTGTTGAGTGGTTCTGTTTCCAGATTTGTAGATCCATTGTAGACTTACATGAAAATCATTCAAGACCACAATGTGAAGTAAAGACAAAGTCCTCCATTGAAGACTCTATTGAACCTTTATTAAAAACACTATTAAAAACCTTTCAAAATATTGTTGAAGATGAGGCATTTTTCCATTTCGTTATTGCATTTACTATTTCCAGATACATGTGCACTCCATTGCCATAATATGTTTTTCGGTTTGAAAATTTCAGCACTGATTTTTTGAAATTATACATTTAATTAGAAACTTAACTTCTGAATAAAAGTGATTAGTTTGACAAATTTGTTCCAAAAAAAATTTTACAAAAACTTTCCACAGTTGATGTCCAAATATAATGAAATAATTCAGCAGTTGAGGTCCGAATATAATGAAATAATTCGACACTGGTTGTTCGATTGAAAACCGTGAAAAAAAAAAGAAGAAGAAGAAGATGAAGATGAAGAAGATGAAGAAGAAGTTGGCCTCCTTTGGGAACCCTCTCTTTTAGCCAAAAAGTCAAAAAGTTACTAAATTAGCCAAAAAGTCAACAACCCATACTAAAAAGTCAAAGATTCTCTTTTCTCTCTACTTTTTGCACATCTTTTTGTAAAAAACCAAAAAGTCATCCCAAACATACTAGTTTTTTTTTGCTCATATTTTAGCCAAATAGCCAAAAAGTTACTAAATTAGCTTGTTCCCAAACGAGGCAGCATGAAAAAACTACATTTTCATCATGAATAGAATATAAATTTAGAGATTGAAGTAATATGAGAGTTGTTATGAGAATATTTCTTTGTAAGCAATAGAGGAGTATAGAGTATATAGCAAGTAAAGTAACAACAATGGAAAAATTAGAGTTTAGTTTTTTTTTACCCAAATGTGTATATTAAGTTTTTTTTTTTTTTTTAAAAAGATGTGTATAGAGAATATTTTTACATAGGCGCTGTTTGGGAAACAAGGGTTCAGACTAATATAGCCCCAAATTAAAAATAAGCCAAAAAGCCCCACTGTTCAACCCTTTTTATTTTTATTTAAAAAAAATAAAAATAAAAATAAATAGGTGCATCTGTCGGTCAGTGTAGGCACAGCCTATACTGTCACATTGACAAATTGTTACATCACTTGGTAAATTACGATTTTGCCCCTTTACATCAATTTAAAAAATTGTAATTTTATAGACAAATTTGTCATTTTAACTTCAAACATCATTTCAACACATTTTTCAATACAACAACTCAAATAAAAATCCATCTTATTTTCCCAAACACAAAAACTAAAATAGCCTACTAAAAAAGTCAAAAAATCTCTAAAATAGCCACTTCCCAAACGAGGCCATAATATTATGGGTGATAGTGGATGTCTATTATAGTCATTTTAGTTTAGAGTATAATTACTATTAAAATAATATTTCATTAAATATGTGTACTGAGATAATTAGGTTTGTGTGAAAATAAAATTTCTCAAAAAGTCAACTTTTAACTATCTTCTCAAAATTTTTTTACACATATGTTCGTAAAAAATTAAAAAATTAATTAAAATAACTAGTTTCCAAAATATTCCCAAGATGAATGAGGACTTACGTACAAGTCCTGATAGGTAAACTATTATTCAATTGGTTTTGTGAAAATTAATGACATTTTTATTAAACACTATTAAAAAAGTCACCAATTGTTTACTTTCAAAGACAATTTAAAAATTGTGTTCCAAAAAATATCACTAATTATAAGTTTTAGAGACAGTTTAAAAAAAATTATCACAAAAAAAGTTGCTAATTTTAACTTTCAGTAACAGTTTAAAAAATTATTTATAGAAAAACGTCACTAATTGTAAGTTTTAGTGACAATTTATAAAATTTGTGATAAAAAAATAATTAATTGTCAACATTTAAAAAAAATCATCAAAAATAAATAAATTTAACAACGATTTTACTAAGACTTATTTTCAATAGGACTTAATAGGAATTCGGTCTAACTATTAAAACTTATTGGTAGTTTACTCCCAAAAAAATTACAAATAGATTGTATTTTTTAAAAGTAATTACGGATTTATGAGAAAAAAATTTACCTTTAATAATTAAAATTTGTAAAATTTACTATTATTTGATATTTTTCTTTCCAAACATAAACATACATTGATTTATTATTGGAGGAATTGCACATCAGCGGAGTAGACAAAAAGTATTTTAAAAAAATAAAAAATAATTATAATTATAAATATTAATATTTATAATGTTTATTATTTTTCTGTAAATTTTTTTTGTCTTTTTTCTCTGATATGTAATTCCTCCTATATTATTTTCTCAAAAATATTTTGAATATCACGTGGATGGTATTGATTTATAAGTTGGTGGGAGTCCGGGCCACACTTAGAATAATGGAAAATTATCAATTAAGTGGAATGTAGAGAAAATAATAAGGGTAAATTCCATTGACTTTTCCTTTTAATAAATCTTAAAATTTTAATATAATTACACTAAAATTTTCTTTTTAGTAACATTAAATAGCCAAAAAAAAAAACTAATGCGAATGGTACAAAAATAAATAACGTAAAGTTTATATTTTCGTATAAAAGATAAGAAAACATCATTTTTTAAATCATGTAACTAACAAATTATTAATGAAAAATAGGTCAATTGTTACATAAATTAAAATTTTAACAGACACTACAAAAAATTAAGATTTTAGAAACCAAAATTTAGGGACAATTATTTTTTAGGAACCAAATAATTTTGTTACAAAAAATGTTATTACCCAAAAGACAACCTAAGAGGGGGGTGAATTGAGTTTTTACAATTAAAAATTAATAATATCCTAATAAAAATTATGACTAGCACAATAGATAAATATAGTTAATGAAATAAAAATAATTAAAACAAGTGTTCTAACAACTATGTTAGTTAATGATTTTAGTACAGTGAAAATGTGAAATATAGTTACAGCAATTTAAATAAAATAAAGAGATAAGGGAGAGAGAGACAAACAAATTTATAGTGGTTCCGTTTCAACTCGACCTATGTCCACTCCTCAAGCTTCACTTGAGATTTTCCATTATGCTCTAGCTTCACGGGGGTGCTAGCAACCTCTTTACAAATGGAGCAAGCCTCCACAGATTTTACACAGACTTTCTAAATCAAGAACACTGAGTGTACTACACTCTTACAAGGTTAAAAAGAATGTGTTTTTGCTTTCATAGAAAGTTACAAGAATTATCTTTCAAAGATAGATATAAAAATGAAACTTTGATTTTTCTGTAAACCTCACACAGGAAAGATAGACTTAAAGCTATATGTCTCAGTATATAATTTCTGAAAGATGATGTAAACAAAATTTGAAGAACACTTCTCAGAGAATTTTTCAGAGAATAGATGTGAGTGATTATAGATTAAAGAATATTTTCTAATTTTTTTTTTTTAACTTGTTTACATTAGAGGTTTTGGTATATATAATGAAACTTATAACCGTTGTATTCATTTGAATTTATAGCCGTTGTATTCATTTGAATATTTTCCACTCCAACATTACTAATTTGAATATCTTCCACTCCATCATTACTAATTTGAATATCTGTCACTTAAACGTTTTGAACTGCTGTTGTGCTAGGCTGTTTGATC